TCCTTTGCATTTGAACATTTGATAACATGATTAAAGTCTCTGAAACTACTCTTTTGAAAGTCAACAACAAGCTTCCATGTGGATGATCCATATCCTCCTTCTGAGACCTCCACCTGTTTCTATTATTCTGTCCAATATTGGCTCTTGATGTCCCAATGACCTCAACCTTCCTTCTTTCTTTCATTATATTCTTTTTTTAAAGACTGACTGGATTCTTTATTCTCATCATTCCACGGGAAAAACTGTACAAAGATGCTCATTGCTGATTTGATTTGCATTTCCTCTGGCTAGAAATATGGAGTATTTCTTCATTTGTCTATTGGCTATTTTTCCTTTAAGTCATTAACCCATTCATTAATTGGATGGTTGGTTTATTGAATGTTTAATGTTTTAAGCTCTATATATTCTGGATATTAGTCTCTTGTTTAAAATGTATAGCTTTCAAAAATCTTCCCTCATCCTGTAGGCTGTCTTTTTAGCTTATTGCCTATGTCCTTTGTCATGCAGAAACTTTTAAGTTATTCTTGACTGAGTTTTAAACATGCAAGTTTGATGCAATACAATTTATCAAGTCTTTCAAATGCTTTGTTATGCTTCTGGATCTTTACACACAAAGATTCTACCTGTGAAAAGGAGTTCCAATGTTTCCGCTACTCTTTCCTTTAATAGTTTCATGATTTCAGGTCTTGCATTGTGGTCTTTGATCCATTTTGAATTGATGCTGGTGCAAGATGATATAAGATGATATATAAGGATCTAGGTTCAGTTTTCTGCATGTGGCTATCCAGTTTTCTCAGCACCATTTGTTGAAGAGGGTCTCTTCTAAGACCATGCTTTCAGGGATCACTATATTCTTTAATGTGTGTGAATTCTGTGGATTTGCTACCTCTTCTTTCACCTATTCCTCAATAAACATTCTATTCTTCATTTAGCCATCAAATCTATATACTTCTTTTATAAATTTTTATTATCTTTAAGTAGTTGTACAAAGGAGTTGCCAGTTAACAAAGCAGTTTGTGAATACAATATTTCTTGGTCAGTGTCATGCCTTTCAACATTCTCACCCATCCTCCTCTACCTACTCTTTCCCTGATTCTTCCTAATTTTGTAGGCTATACATTGAATTTTTGTGCATTTCCCCCTCTCTTCCTCTTAATTTGTCTATCCCTTTCCTCTTTACTCCACTGCATTCCTTTCAAGTGCTTGCTTATTGATGTTTTATTTTGCTGAACTCTGATTTTTGCCTTTCTAAGAAATTGCATTATTTGAGAACTCCATTGAATATACCATGTTTAAGTTAATATTTCTACATATACTTGCATACTACTCAATGTATTTACTTATGTCTTTGTAAGCTAAATCTAACTGCCATAGATAAGGGAAAACATAGATCCTTTGTTTTTCTGAGTCTGACTTATTTCATGTAACATAATTATTTTCATTCCTTTCCAAAATTACAATATTATTCTTTCTTTTTATTTTTTTTTTATTTTTTTGGTCCGGTCATGGGGCCTGAACTCTAGGCCTGGGCGCTGTCCCTCAGCTCTTCAGCTCAAGGCTAGCGCTCTACCCTTGAGCCACAGCACCACTCCCGGCTTTTTTCTTTTTGCTTATGTGGTGCTGAGGAATCGAACCCAGGGCCTCATGCATGCAAGGCAAGCACTCTACCACTGAGCCACCTTCCCAGCCCTACAATATTGTTCTTTCTAATGAATGTATAAAATTATATTGTGGGGGGGGGGGTGTATCACATTTTCTTAATCCATTAGTTCACTGAGAGACTGATTCTGACTTTGGCTATGGTGACTAGTACAACAATAAACATAGTTGTGCTGGTGGGCTTATTGTACTCTGGTTTGTAGTCTTTGGGGTAAATGCCCAGGAGTAAAATTGCTGGATGTGAGGGCAGTTCAGTTTTTAATTTTTTGAGGAACCTCCACACTGATTTCCACAGTGGTTGATCATGTTTACATTCCCATCAACAGCAGTATTAGGGTTTCCTTTTGTCCACATCCTCACCAGAATCTGTTATTTGTTTTCTTGATAATGGCAGTTCTAACTGCAGAAGTGGAATTTTGATGCTGTTTTGATTTGCATTTCCTTTATGACCAGAGAGGTTGACCATTACTTCATGTGTCTATTGGCCATTTTTACATCTTCTTCTGAAAAACCATTTTAGCTCATCTACTGATTGGATTGTTGGGAGTTTTTTTGGGAGGGGGAGTTAATTTTTTTAAGTTGTCTGTATATTCTAGATATTATGCCATTGTCTAATGTATAGCTGGATAAAATAGTCTCTCATTTTGTAGGCTGTCTATTTAGCTTGTTGGTTATATCCTTCCCTCTACAGAAACTTTTTAGTTTGACACAGTCCCATTTATCCTATCTTTCTTTGATTTGCTGTACAAATTCAGATTTCTACCTATGCCTAGAGGCCCTCGTGTTTCCTCTACTGTTGCCCATCAAAACCCTAACATCATTCTTCAATGATATAGAGAAAGCAATCCAAAAGTTCATATGAAACAACAAAAAACCTTGAATAGTAAAAGCATTCCTTAGCAGGCTGAGCAGTGCTGGAGGAATAACAATACCAAACTTCAAACTCTCTTACAGAGGCATGGTAATGAAAACAGCTTGGTACTGGCACAAAAACAGGCCTGGAGACAAATGGAACAGAATAGAAGACCCAGAAATAAACTCACAGACTTATAGCCATTTAATATTCGATAAGGGAGCCAACAAATATAGGCTGGAAGAAACACTGCCTCTTCAACAAATGGTGCTGGCAAAAGTGGATATCCACATGCAGTAAACTGAAACTAGATCCTTATATATCAACCTTGTACAACCTCACTTCAAAATGGATCAAAGTTTACTTCTACTCCAACTAGATTCCTAATTACTTCACCAAGATTGAGTTCTGAATTCTATTTGCCACTGTGTTGCCCAGAACAGATGTTCCCTTGTCCAGGATCAGCTGTGTTACTTTCCCAGTAAGCTTCTCCTCAGAATCTTTCTTATTATTCACCTCTAGTCCTTGGCATAAATGCTTTCTCTGTCTACTCATAACTTTATTTATTCCAGGCACCTGCTTCCTGACAAATAATGTGAAATCTACTGACCATTACTGTAGTAAAGCATCGACTAATTTCCTGCCAGCCTATCAACTCCAACATGTTTAAAATTTATAACTTTAGCCTAACTTCCAATTGCTGGCTTACTCAGGTGGTGTAGCTTGTTTTACTTGTCTTCAGATGATTGTTTTTCTCTTGTAGAAACCCAGTTAGGAAACAAATCTTACTTATTTAGATATGACTCTCAGTCATCAGTTTCTTCTTGTTCTAAGAGGCTAACATCTTGGTTCTATCTCTTATTGGTTCATGATTAGCTGTAATAAGAGCTGGGCAGGTGGTGATTCCATTGTCTGATTCCTGTGTCAGGCCGTCTTGCTTTCAAATCAGTCTTCTCAGAGTAAAACTTTAGAGATCTGACGCTCCAGCTCAGGCTCCTTCAATGACTTTCCATGACCTTTTGATTAAAGTGTCCAATTCTTAAGACACTTTAGTTGTTTGATACTGGGGTTTGAAGTTTGAACTCAATGTCTCACACTTGCTGAGTTTGCTTGCTCAGCTGGTTCTCTACCACTTGAGCTATGCCTCTAGCCCTGACTTTTTGTTAGTTGGAGTCTCCAGGACTTTTCTGTCCAAGCTATCTTTGAGCCATAACCCTCAAGATCACAGCTTCCTGAATAGTAGAATAACAGTGAGCCAGTAACCTCCAGATACCTAATATGATTTTAGAGGATCACTTTATCCTGTCAGAATGATTTTCTTTAAAAATAAGGAAAGAAAAGAAGGAGGGGAGGGAGGGGGGAGGGAGGAAGGGAGGAAGGGAGGGAGGAAGGAAGGAAGGAAGGAAGGAAGGTAGGAAGGAAGGAAGGAAGGAAGGAAGGAAGGAAGGAAGGAAGGAAGGAAGGAAGGAAGGAAGGGAGGGTGTGCTATTTTCCTTCATTCTCAGACCTCTCTTTTTCAGCATACTACCCTGTGTGCTACTACTTAGAAGAACTTACCTGTTTAGAACTTGGTACACCTGAAATTTTTAAAAGCAGAACAACAAATCCAGTCATGTTTAAAGTATTGTCCATGTTCATACAATGGAATGTTATACTAATGTTCTTTTTACTAATAGCTTTTTGACTTGGTAATGAACAATATGTTGTTTTTTACTGAGAAGTATGTCTAAGATTTAATTTTGAAGATTATGTTTTCTTTTATATATTTTTGAGCCTGCTGTTTGAAGTCCCAGTAATCTTTCATTAAGCATTTGTCCATCTGAAACAATAGGTTAACTATGGCCAAATCATAACCATACCTTTCCTCTGCATACAAAATCCTATAAACAGCATGTGATCATATTGCTTCTAGAATTTATGATTGTTTTCTTCCAAAAGCAAGCTAAATTTAGCCTGGTAATTCTACATGCTCCCAAGGAAACAATGCCTGCTGTGATTTCTAGAATAAATGAATCTGAACCACAGTTCCTTTCCTTGACTAACCAACAAAGTTTAAGTATGAACCTAGTCATTAGCCACAGATATGAATCCACATTAAACCATCAGCAAGGGGTTAAGAATTTTATTTCTATGCTATGTTTCTTATTTCTATTGTTTCCTGCTATGCTTCTTATTTCACTGCTGAATGAGTCTCACTTAGTTGCTTCATGGACCTTAATACAGAACATTGTTTGCATCTCATAATGGTTCTCTAAAATTACTCGTTCATGGCTTGACTTCTAAAATTAAACTATGTAGAGTCATGCCCAGCCACACAATGCATCTTTATGTGAAGCTAGCTAGAGGCTGTTGTTTGCATTCTGTGTAAAACTTCCAATTAGAAAGTGTTGCTTCTGAGAGTTTCACCAGGGTAGTTCTTTCCATTTTCTCCTCTTTGTTTCTAATGACAACTAACTAAACTGCTCTCACCTTGTGCATGTTTTGGCAGATCCACTTGTCACAATGAAGGCCGTTGCTGTGCTTGCACCTGGCATCCTTGTGCTGTTGGTTACCTTGGTGCAGAGGAGCACTGGGGAGTGTAAAGAAGCCTTAGTCAAGTCTGAGATGAATGTGAACATGAAGTACCAGCTTCCCAACTTCACGACAGAAATGCCCATCCAGAATGTTGTTCTGCATGGGCATCATATTTACCTCGGGGCCACTAACTACATTTATGTTTTGAATGACAAAGACCTTCAGAAGGTGGCTGAATACAAGACTGGGCCTGTATTGGAACACCCAGATTGTTTTCCATGTCAAGACTGCAGCAGCAAAGCCAATTTATCAGGGGGCATTTGGAAAGATAATATCAACATGGCTTTGCTTGTGGACACATACTATGATGACCAGCTCATTAGCTGTGGTAGCGTCCACAGAGGGACCTGCCAGCGACATGTCCTTCCACCTAAGAACACTGCGGACATACAATCAGAGGTCCATTGCATGTTCTCCCCACAAGTGGATGAAGAGCCCAGCCAGTGTCCAGACTGTGTGGTGAGCCCCTTGGGAGCCAAAGTTCTCCTGTCTGTAAAGGACAGGTTCATCAACTTCTTTGTGGGCAATACTTTAAATTCTTCTTACCTTCCCGATCATTCACTGCATTCTATATCAGTTAGGAGACTAAAGGAAACTCAAGATGGTTTTAAGTTCTTGACAGACCAGTCCTACATTGACGTTTTGCCCGAGTTTCGAGATTCTTATCCCATTAAGTACATACACGCCTTTGAAAGTAACCATTTTATTTACTTTCTGACGGTTCAAAAGGAAACCCTGGATGCTCAGACTTTTCACACGAGAATAATCAGGTTCTGCTCTGTAGACTCTGGATTGCACTCCTACATGGAAATGCCTCTGGAGTGCATTCTCACAGAAAAGAGAAGAAAGAGATCCACAAGGGAAGAAGTGTTTAATATCCTTCAAGCTGCATATATCAGTAAGCCTGGGGCCAATCTTGCAAAGCAAATAGGAGCCAGCCCGAATGATGACATTCTGTATGGGGTGTTTGCACAAAGCAAGCCAGATTCTGCTGAACCAATGAATCGATCTGCCGTCTGTGCATTCCCTATCAAATATGTCAATGAATTCTTCAACAAGATTGTCAACAAAAACAATGTGAGATGTCTCCAACATTTTTATGGACCCAACCATGAGCACTGCTTTAATAGGGTAAGTCACAGTGGTTCTTCAATTACAAATTATGAAGTTCAAAGAGACCAAGGTTAAGAAAAGTTAGCAATTGAATTTACATTCACAACTAAATCATATTCTAAGAAATTAATGTAACTAAAACAAAAAAAGTATTTTTACAATTTGCATCTGTATGTCTGCAGTTTACATTTTTGCCTTTTAGGATTGATGATTGTATGTACTTATATGAAATGTTATTTTCACAGGAAGTGTTAGGGAAACTCTTGGTGCTTTGATTTAAATACAGGAAAATCTACCATCTAGAAACAGAGGATTTTTTTTTCCTGTTGATCATTTGATCACTGGTGCCAGAGGAAAAGCAGCAAACTGGCAGTACATTGTGGCCTTAGGAATTGTTATCTTGAACCCAGATTAGCACATATGGGCCAGGCTGTGTTTCCTAATGTAAAGACCATTAGTGATCACAACTAAAGAAATACTATCACTTTTATAAAGATGACTTGATTTTGGAAACGTGTCTCACTCTAGCACTTTTTAATTTCATAACTAAAGGTCAATATTGCAAGCAGGAAAAAGTATGCTATTTTTTTAACAGTAATGTAAGTTTAGCCCAGGGCTTTACACAGGTTAGCACTTGAGTTATACCACCAACCTTATTAATTTTGCCCAGACTGGCCTGAATTTCATGATTTTCTTGCCTCTACTTCCCAAGTAGCTTTAAATATTTCTTCCATAAGATAAAGTGTGTATTTTTTTCTGAGAAATCTTTCCGGCATATAAATTCAGAAAAATGTGGCTGATTTTTGCTGAAATGTCTGAGATATTTCCCCAAAAGGAAATGTCAATCAATGTTTTTGTGAAGCTAAGAAAGTACTTCTGAGAATCAATTTATTTTTTGATGAATTAAAATACAAAACTTTCCTATTCCCCTACAAAGTCTATGAATATGCATAACATCCATTTACATATATCCCAGCTAGGACCTTTTCCCTGCCTATGTTTAATATGCTACAGACTCTGCAAGGAGAAATTGAGTTTTTCATAATGCTATTCCCTTCTTCACTAGGAAATAGAAAAGAAGGAAAGGAAGCAAAATGACCTTCAGAAATCTGGGATTAGGAAACAAAAGTGTAATAAATGACATTTTAGAGAAAACACGTTTCCTGCATCCAGTAAGCTACTTCAGGTACACTGGTTTCAAAGGGGCCCCTTAGAAGTTCATCCGCAGCTTCTACAGTATATGACATTGCTCTTTATGTCTGCAAATTATTAGAAAAGATTTGGCGCTACAAAGGCTTGTTAATACCTTAACTCATTGTTTTATTTTATACATTTCAGCTCACAGATGTAGAAGTTCTTGTTGATTCTAGGAACTCTCAAAATATGTCTGAACTTTATCTTACCCCTTTGGCTTTCTTATTTCCAAGGGGAACAAAGAGGCAGGATTATCCAATAAATAGCAGGCCAGTTATACCCAGCAGGAGAGGTAAAAAAAAAATGCCCCAAATGCCACACCTGAAATCATTATCACTCCAATCACAAAAAATTCTGTGGGAAACAAGATGAAACTTGCCAACTCAGTCTTCTTACAAGGGAAGCCAAATTGTGCACTGGCCAAATTCCATAAAGACAAATACCTCCAAACGTCCTTTCTTTCTTTGCCTGTTTGTCTTCTCTAGTTACTAAACATCAAAATTCTTCTGGGAAGGAGACAATGCCTAGCCTCCTTTTTCCTATCACAGTGCCACAGAAAGACCTAGGAGTATTTCAATAATCAGTACATGACCTCTCCCACTTTGTCTTAAAACAAAAGCAACAAGAACATTCATCACACAAAAACAAAATGATTTACAAGACTGAACCTGTTACAAGGTCTTAAGCAGTAAGAATGACTCCATTTTGTCTTGGCAGATTAACTTGGCTTCCTATCAGATGGCCCTTCTAATAATAACTTGGAACTGAGTTTTTATTTTGGGGTGAAGTTGGGAGACTAGACACTCATAGGGCAGTTTTGTTATTAACTTCTCTAACACTGCACAGAGAGCCTCATATTCTTTGGATAAGCTTTAAAAAAAATGGCAATACATTTGTTGTAGGCTTCTACCTTAGCTCAGTGTATGAACATTACCCTCCTAGAGGGGCTTTCTGACCACTTTCCAGCTCCTCATCCTTTTCTTCCTAGGATCAAACAAAGAGTTCCAGGAGAAGGTACTTTACATTGTAGAGGTCCAACAGGTATATCAGGCCCACCTTACTAAGGTATAATTATTTTTTGCTGCTTTTTCCACCCGCAACAGTTCATGAATGTATGCAAACTATCCACACCAACTTATATTAATGACAGCACATAGGTCCCTCTTTTAAATCATATGATAATTTCCAGAGAGCATCATCCTCACTCTATGTTATAAGTGCTTTTTCTTGAAACTTAAGCTACGACCCATCCATGTAAAACAAGTGTTCACCATATTAGTCCTTCTATAAAAATATGCTCTTTTTCACAATGTGAGCATTTTCCATGTTGCTTTGATTAAGAATAACTTTGATTAAAAGAATCACTTCTAAGTATTAGGAAGTCGTACACTCACAATAACTGTTACATTTGTCTTTAGTGACTTCCCTGCCCTTTTCCCCATTCATGGGGAACCTCTATAGACATCCTAAACTAGTATTGATTGGAGTTGTTTTAAGGATAAGACATATTACCTATCCAAACATTATTATCCAAAATAAAATAGTTGAGAAAATACCCCTATGATACAGAAATTTTGTAAAAACAGAGGGGAAATACATACATACATACATGCATGCATACATACATACAAACATAAATTCTTACTGCTTTTATTCATGGACGGATGTTAACTATTCAATGAATTTTCTTAAGATTGACTGCAATTTCCAAATCATATATAAGTCCAAGGAAAAAAATAGAATAATACATTAATTCAACCTCACACAAATAAGAATCAATTTTTATCCAATATGCTAACATGGGAATTTTTAAACCCCAAATTTCCCAAGAGATTGTCCCTAAGATATAGAATATTTACTACAACAGAACATTTTAGAAATATTTTTCATCAAAATTGAAATGAAAAGAGGTTTTGAAAATAAAATATAGTTAACATATAATGTTATTTTCTTGTAGTCCCATTATCAAGTTGTCTCTACCATGTAGTTATTTGAAAGATAAACAAACTTGTAACATATATTTTTACATCTTGGCCATCTTAGTGACCAGTGATTGATTAACTGAGATGGGAAAGCATGGAATTTGGTGGAAGACATGCCAAGACATAGGCCAGATTGCTGCATATCAATTATGTGACCTCTGCCATAATATTCCAACTTTTGGACAGTGGTTTTCATCTGCAACATGCAGAAAACTACGTACAGGGTTAGTGAAAATGTGAGATAATGACTATGAAGTACCTGGAAGAATATGGTAACTATCCATTTAGCTCTTTGGAAATCCATATGTCCTAATAAATGGGAAGTTATCCAGAGATCCAGGTTCTGTTGTACCGTTTTCAACCTGACTAGCCATGAGAGCATTATTTATATTATGAACCCCTCTTCCTTCATTTTTCAGTGGATAAGTACAGTAATGTCCATAAAAAGTCCTAACTTAGTCCCAGGTACATAACAAATTGTAACTGTTATTGTAAAGAATGCTTGTGTTTCAAAAAGGAAAGAAGCTATTCATATTGTTTCCTGCAAGAGGCATATTCTGGCCCTATTTGTCATAAGGCTCATTCACCTCCCTTCCTACCTGTTAAGAATGATCCACCTGGACAAAACTTAATTAGCTTAATGCCTCTTCAGATATAATATTTCAAAAAAAGAATAATAGAGTTATTTAAAGACTGGAGAAGAAGACAATTGAATAAAACGAGTACAACAGTTGAGAAGAAAGATGTTCTACTTCATCCCATGACTTAAAAGCCCAGCTACCTGTAGCACTGTAAAATGCTAGGGTTATGTACTAAGAATTTTCAGACAGTGCAACTTTAGAAGAAGTCAACCTCATAGGTTATTTGTATTAAACTTCTTTGTTTTTAAGTATCACTTAATCTCAAATGCAAAGAGTAGCCAACTGGTTCTCAAAATAAAGGAAACTTAAGGTAGTAATTTTCCATCCCCATTTCAAAGCACCAAGGTTAAAGGAAGAAAGCAGAGAAATTTTCCAATAAGAACAAGATTCCAAAAAGATGCAAACAAGGAATAATAGGAATAGGCAGAAAAATAAACAGTGATGTGCCTTTATTATTACTATAAAGATTATAAATGAGTAAAATCAAGTTATATTTAAGTTGTAATGGAAGAAAATAATTGCAGCCTTCCATCAGGAACCCACAAGAATCATTATTGATCTGTCATCTTCAGGGCATGCCTCATAATAGTTGGCAGAATAAACAAAGATTTATAACTTTTAATGGGCCATATATATATAATATCCCACATTCTTTAAACTGCAAATGTGGAGTCTATGTTACAAATAAATCCTTGACATTAGACTGATTTGGAATGTCTTATTTAAACAATCTAGCACTCTCAATAGATTATATTTTGCATTAAGGATGAAAAATGTGAAGTCAAATTACAAAGTGTTTGTTATTGTTGCTATTCCTGTGCTCAGAAATGAAAAAATTGTTTTATATGAAAAGTGTTATTGTGGAGTCTTTGTTCTTGATACTAGACTGCCCTATAAACCTACACACTAAATAGCTTGGCCTTATGACAAATATAATTGCTACAAAAAGCAAAGTCTCACCAAAGGGAAAATGATGGAGGTAGGAGAATTTGATATATTTCTACAACCAAAGAAAAACCTAAGAAGAAATTTGTTAATTTTCATTTTATGGTTTTTCCCTTTATGGGACTTTATTTTCACCTATGGTCAGGGAATGACAGAGACTTACTTGAATTCTCCATGCTATCTATCCCTTAATAAGTGACTTTTTGCATTGATTCTATGAAGAGAAATTTAAAATCCATTTCTTTCCACAGTTTTG